GGGTGGAGCTTGGGTTAGTAGAGGTGGGGCCTGCTGAGGGGCGGGGCAGCTCGGTGGGCGGGGCCTGGAAGGGATGGGGTCCCCGCTGGGAACCCCGCTCCTGAGCCTATCCAGTCTCTTTGTCGGAACCCCAAGAACAGTCATCTTCACCGGATTGAGCACTAGGTAGCTAATTTCCGGGGAGGGGAATGGGTAGCCTGCTCTTTCTGGGACACCGGAGAGGTGTGACACCCCAAGTTGATAACCAGGCCCAGTAACGGTGAAGACTTCACTTGACCAAGCAGAGCCGCCATCTGCCAAGTGGAAGGAACTGGGGTGTGGGGAGGGGAGGGAAAACCTCAATCCCCAACTTTAAAAACCTATGGCTTAGCCTGGCACCAATGGCTCACCCCTGTGATCCTAGCTACTCAGGAGGCTGAGATCTGAGGTCAAGGTTCAAAGCCAGCCTGGGCAGGAAAGTCCATGAGATTCTTCATCTCCAGTTAAGCACCCAAAAGGCTGGAAACAAAGCTGTGGCTCAAGTGCGAGAGCACTAGCCTTGAGCATAGAGAGGCTCAGGGACAGTGCCCAGGCCTGGAGTTCAAGCCCCAGGACTGGAAAAAAAAAATAGTAACTGGCAATGTAAAGTTATAATTAAACAATTATAGATACAGATCAGTAGTAGAGAATGTGCCCTGCATAAGGCCCCTGGCTCTGTCCTGGTACAGGAAGAAGAATAAACAAATGATAAAGCTATATCGAGTGTACTCATAATTTAGTTGGGAACACCTCTATTGCAAAAACTCTAACAAAATGGAAAACTCCACCCTCAGAGGCTCAAATTTGTTTTCTTTCTTCTTTCTCTGCTTCACAAAACAGTGGAAATGGGGAAGAATTAACTCTGTAAGGGTTAGAAGTCTGTGAGAGACAGTGACTTGAGATACATTGACTTTCCCACATGTTTGATACTCATGGTTACAAAATTGCAGCTGCAGCTCCAGCCACCACATTCATATGAATTACTGTAGAAGGGGAAAGAAGCAGCTCCAGCATTCAGAGGAAGAATCTTCATAGAACATGACTGTAAACTCCCTATGTTAGCTTACTACATGCCCAATATTTTGAAAGAAAAAGAACTTAGAAATGGAACTTGGGAAATGACAAACCATCTTGGCTCCATTCTTTCTGTCTTGGAAAATTATTGTGAAGAATGTCCTACACTTTTTTTTGGGGGGGGGGTCTGGTCGTGGGGCCTGAACTCTGGGCCTGGACGCTGTCCCTCAGCTCTTCAGCTCAAGGCTGGCGCTCTTATCACTTGAGCCACAGTGCCACTTCCAGCTTTTTTCTTTTTTGCTTATGTGGTTGGTGCTGAGGAATCGAACCCAGGGCCTCATGCATGTAAGGCAAGCGCTCTACCACTAGAGCCACACCGACCCTTTTTCTTTAGTACTTTTTTAAATACTCTCTTACTTTTGAAGGGACAGGCCTGCTGTCCCTGTCATTGTGACGGACCAGCTAGGCTGGAGCACTGGAACCACCGGGACAGGGTTCTTGGGATAGGTGGGCAAGGAGTTGGCAGCGTGACAAACAGACACAGACTCAAAAGAGTAGTGTCTGAGAGTACCTTTATTGAGGAGAATTAACATTTTTATACAGTATGTGGTTATGACAAAGATTCTTTGTTTATTTAAGCATGCAATCAATTTTTAAGAAAAGCAAAGCATTAATGGGTTACATGAAAATTGATGACTATCCCACCAACTGTTTGAGCTAAGTGGTGCGAAAGAAGTCTAGCACATTGTTTAATACAATGCACCATCTACTCAGCCTTTTATGTTTAATAATGAACAAACCTAAGACTGAGTGACCAGGGAGGGTCACTGGTACTTATATTGTACTCTTTCTATTTTTTCCATAAATTTTCAAGTCCCTTTGAAACCATCCTAGAAACCACTCCCAGGTTGAGTCAGGCATGCTCCATTTCCTAGGATTTTGATCCCAATATTTTTTCACATGAATTTCTAATTGTTATTTTAAACTATCTTGTTGTTGTTTTGATAATAAACACCACAATGGTCTAGATCTACTACTCTTTGCATAAAATCTAATGAGTACCAAGATACCCTTTTTCCTTTTACATTAATCCATCTATTTCTATCTTTATAAACTCCTGTAGAAGGCAATGGTTCATCGGTCGGCTTGGGAAATGTGATGTCACTAACTTTATATTTTGTGGGAAACCACCATCTATTCCCTATTACGTAAGCTGAACCAAACTTAGTCATAACTGTTAGGAAAATCTTTCTTTTCCTTTTATTATCAGGAGTCCCTTTTTTTTAGAACTCTCTGTGCCTCTGGGATAACTCCTTCTGGTTTAATTTAAATCACTAATTCTGCCTGTTGCAAAATATCTGGAAATTTCAAATTTCTATATTTACCATGAGTGAGCTGCAAAACGGCTTGTGAAATGGCAGGCGCTTCTGAGGCAGGCTCACATCAGGTGATGCAGTGATTGGGGCATCGTCCACATCTAATCTTCGGTCCTGGTCTCTGTTATTCAGAGAAGCCGTCTCCATTGGATGGAAAGGAACAATGTGTCCTGTTTGCGGATCAAGAGGAGAACAGCCAAAATGAGAATAAAGGCAACAAGTGTACGGCCAAGAGCACGGGAAGCCTTGAGCAGCGCCTCTGCCTGAAGGTGTGCTTCCTTGAGGCTTACACACGCCTGGCATGCTCCAGGAAGGGGCTAAGAGGTTGGGAGGCCCGCTGGTCAGCACTCAGGAGGCTGAGAACTGGGCCCTGGAAAGGTGGAAACAGAGGAGGCAAGATAAATGTGTCCGTTACCATCACCGGCCCCTCTGATGTCTAAGTCACGGGTGAGTGGACCGTCTGAAGCGTGAGACACAGGAATAAGATAAATGTCTGTTACAGTTACGGATTTCAAAACAGTCACCATTTTCCACTCCCTAACAATAAGGGAGTTCATTTTTCACCGTGTACGCAAACTATGTCCCATGTCCATGATTGTTGCCACAAGATAGGCTAATACCTTGTTTTCTGCACGTACCCATCGCAACCTTCCTTGTCCAGAACTACATAAACAGGCTTGCTCCCGGGAGCCCAGGATTCAAGAGCAGGTGAGTCTTGCAGCCCTGAGCCCGCTTGCTTAACTCCCTCCAGCTCTGCTTTTGGGTCTTCAGCTGCGGACTCCGGTCACGCCGCTGCAGGTGGCGGGCGGCAGCAGCCGTGCTGTGGGATGGATGCATGCACAGGAAAGGCTGAGTGACCAGGGAGGGTCACTGGGTCATTACTGTGCACATCCACTTTGAAACAGGGGAGCCAACCAGGCCTGGGACCATTTTTTGTTTTTGCCAGTCCTGGGCTTGAACTCAGGCCTGGGCGCTGCCCCTGAGCTTCTTTTGCTCAAGGCTAGCACTCTACCACTTGAGCCACAATGCCACTTCCAGCTTTTTCTGTGTATATGGTACTGAGGAATCAAATCCAGGGCTTCATGCATGCTAGGCAAGCACTCTACTACTGAGCCACCTTCCCAGCCCTCTGGGACACATTTGAAGGCCGGCAGCTGAAAGAGAAGTCTTCCTCTGGGGTAAGGACACACCACAGACCAGGGGGTGGGGTGAGGGAGAAACAATAGAAATGAACGCTTCAAAATTCTGGAGGTGGGCTGGGAAGGTGCCTCGGTGGTAGAGTGCTTGCCTTGCATGCATGAAGCCCTGGGTTCGAGTCCTCAGTACCACATACACAGAAAAAGCCAGAAGTGGCACTGTGGCTCAAGTGGTAGAGTGCTAGCCTTGAGCAAAAGCAGCTCAGAGACAGTGCCCAGGCCCAGATCTACCCAAGCTCCACCACCTACCAAAAACAAAAAAGCAAAGTCAATGGGCTGGGAATGTGTCTTAGTGGTAGAATGCTTGCCTAGCATGCATGAAGCCTGAGTTTGATTCCTCAGTACCAAGTGGTAGTGTGGCTCAAGTGGCAGAGTGCTAGCCTTGAGCAAAAGCAGCTCAGAGACAGTGCCCAGGCCTGAGTTCGAGCCCAGGACTGGCAAAATAAGTAAATAAATAAAAATATTCTGGCGGCTGGAAGCTCAGGGTCCGGGCATCAGCAGAGTCCGTGTTTGCGGAGGTCCTGCTGGCCATGTGGCGGCGGGAAGAAGGTCCTGATGTACTCACTCATTTTTTTGTCGAGATCTGATCGTGGCGTGAGCGCCGGCGCCCTCCTCAGAGCCGCCCGGCCCGGGCGCCCGCGCCGCCCCGCGTGGGTGCGGGGCTCGCGGAGGGTCCGCGGGCCTCGGCGCCGGGAGCGCGGGGAGCCGCCGGGCGCGGGCCACTGCGGGGCTCCGCTCGGGGCAGCGCCGGCCGGCCGGGCGGCTCCGACGCCGGCGCGGCCTCCGAAGCCTGGAGGACCCGGAGGAGAGTTTCCGAGGCCGAAGGGGCGGAGGGGGCCGGGGCCGGGGTTCGGCCCCGGAGCGGGGTCCGGCCCGGGCCTGGCGCCCCCGCCCGCGCCGCGGCTCCGCGCCGGCTTCGCGCTGGCAGCCGGGAGGAGCCTCCGGACCTCGCGGCCCGGGCTTCAGCCGCGGTCCTCCAGTCTCAGCCTCCGGAGCACCGGGCGGAGGGCGAGGGCCCCGGGCCCGCCCCGCCCTCCGGTGGCCGCGGGCGGAGCTCGGAGGCCGGAGGGGGCGCGGGGGGCGCGGGGAGGGCCGGGGCGGGGGCTCCTGGCCCCGGCGCTGCGGGTCCCCGCGGCGGGGTCCGCGCGGTGTCCGGCGGTGGCCGTGGCCGTGCGGGGCGGGGGGCGCGGGGCGCGGGGCGCGGGGCGGCGCCGTACCTGTTGGGCGCCCGCGAGTGGCGGGGCTCCGGGAGCCCGGGGTGCGGGGCGGGGTGCGGGGTCCCGCGGGGCGCGGGGTGCGGGACCGCGGGGCGGGGCGGGGCGGGGCGGGGCGGGGCGGCGCTGTCCCCGCCCCGGGGCTCGGCGCGGCCCTTCGCCTCCGCCCGTCGCGGCCGCCATCCGCTGCCGGCCGCCGCGGGAGCCGGAGGTACGAGGGCGGCGGGCGGGGTGCGGCCTCCGCCGCCGGGGACACCTGTACCCGGGCCGCGGCCGTGCGCGCTGCGGCCCCGCGCCCCGACCCGGCTCCCCGCGAGGTTGAGCGGGGCGGCTCGGGGCGCCTCCCCCGCGGGCCCGGACGAGAAGCCGGGGTCCCACCGCCCCGCGGGCCTGGGCGTCGGGGGATGCGGGGCGGGAGCGGCGGCCGCGGCCCCGGCTCCGGAGCCCGGGCGCGGTGCGGGCGGGCGGGCGGGAGCCTCGTCCCCCCCCCCGCTTCCGCTCCCCCTCCCGGCGGGCCCCGCCGCCCCCTTCAGATGGGGAGACTGAGGCCCACGTGGAGAGAGGGCCGGAGATCCGATCCGATCCGCGGCCAGACCTGCCCACGCCGCCCGAGGCCGGGGCGACCCCCGCTCGGGACCCCTCCCGCGCCCCGCGCCCCGCCCCGCGCCCCCCGCGCCCCGCGCCCCGCGCCCCCCGCCCCGCGCCCCGCGCCCCGCGACCCCCGCCCCGCGCCCCCCGCGCCCCGCGCCCCCCCCGCGCCCCGCGCCTCCCGCGCCCCGCGCCCCCCCGCGCCCCGCGCCCCCCCCGCGCCCCGCGCCCCGCCCCGCCCCGCGCCCCCCCGCGCCCCGCGCCCCCGCCCCGCGCCCCGCGCCCCGCGCCCCCCGCGCCCCGCGCCCCCCCGCGCCCCGCGCCCCGCCGCGCCCCGCGCCCCCCGCCCCGCGCCCCCCGCGCCCCGCGCCCCCCGCGCCCCGCGCCCCGCGACCCCCACCCCGCCGCGCCCCGCGCCCCCCGCCCCGCGCCCCCCGGACCTCGGCCGCCCGCGGGCCCGCGCCTGGCGAGGCCCGGGGGGTTCTTTCTTGAAGCCCCTGGTTCGCTCCTGGCTTCTCCCTGGTCCCTTGGAGCAGCAGGTGACGGATTAGACGGACGGACGGACGGGGGTGGGGGACAGACAGACCCGGGCGGCGCGGACGCACGCCTCTGCGCGCAGCCTCTCCTGGCTCAAGGTTGGCGCCCTACCGCTTGGGCCATGCCTCCAGCTCAGCTTTTTGCTCTAACTGGCAATGGAGCCAGATGGGCTTTTCTACCCGGGATGGCTTCTAAATGCAACCCGCAGACCTCAGCTTCCTGAGTCGCTGGGATGGAAGCCCTGAGTCACTGGTGCCTGGCTTTGCACTGTCCTTTTGCTAGCAGAGTCTGAGGTGGCATCCGGATATCACAGAGTCAGGAAGTTGCCTATGTTTGGGGTTTCTTTAACTTACATTTCTTAGTTTCATATAATGTTATATTGACGCCTTGCATACATTTATACATGGCTGTGAATTGGAGGGGACAGGGACAAACCTGTTAGTATGGACAAACTTCTAGATGGTTCTATGGGCACTATGGAGGAAGGGAGGCACCCACATTTCCCCAGGTTGACAGTGATCCAAAAGAGCCTCGCTGATACCTGGTGCTAGTGACTCGCACCCATTATCCTCGCTATCCAGGAGGCTAAGACCTGAGGATCATGGTTCAAAGCCAGCCTGGGCAGGAAAGTCTGTGAGACTCTTTATCGCCAATGAACTTCCAAAACGTTGGAACTGGAGCCATGGCTCCGGTGGTAGAGTGTTAGCCTTGCAAGGCCCTCAGTTCAAGCCCTAGGATGGGTGTGTGAGTGTACACACTCATGCACACACACACACACACACACCTGGCTGAGACCAGGAGACTGTGGTCCAGGGAATTGGCTCGTTTCCAGGAGCCTCAGGGAAGAACAAAGCTCTGGGGCCCCTCAGCTCTCATGCCAGCTGCGCCCTGCTGTTTATCTGCCCCACCCCACCCCTGTGCTGCTTGCCTGGGGCTCCTCGAGAGTCCCAGGCAGGAAGCAGGGGTTAGAACCTCCTTGTCGCACAGGGAGGAGGGCCTGGCTGAGGCCAGCGCACCCCAGTCTGAAGCTCTGTTTCTATTTTGGGGGGAAGCAGCACCCTACTGTTGTATGACCCTTCCTCTCTTCTGCTGGATGGACCTCTGGGCCCGCGGAGGGGGAGTTGCCTATGGGACAGGGGCAGCCCCTGCGCTGCTGGGAGGAACCCGCACCCAGGAGCCTCTGCAGACCTCAGCTGACAAAGGCGGATGCGGTGATAAGCCATTGTGGCAGGAAAAGCACAGTCCTTGCTTTTTCTTGAGTGAAAAGCCAGAAATCATTATTTCAGCTGTAGGGACAAAGCCCAGACACCTCTACATTCTTGGGGTCCACAAGTTTCATTTATTCCTTCCCAAGGGACTGTGGGGAAGCCTCCTGAGTTGAGGATGTCCATCCACTGAGCCCCATTGGTGCCGCACCCCGAAACCCTCCTCCCTCCTCTCCACTGAGAGTCCAGCATTGCTAGTGAGGAGACAGAACCAAGCTTCTTCTCCACATTGACAGTAACACGGAACCCCCTGCACAGGACATCCCTTCCCCCGGGACTTGGGGGTGCATAAGCACACCCCTTCCACCCCTGCTGGTCCTCCAGTGGAAGCCTGGGTCTCAATTTCAGTGTGTGTGTGTGTGTGTGTGTGTGTGTGTGTGTGTGTGTGTTGGTATTGAGCTTGAACTCACAGCTGGGCTGAGCCACAGCTCTACTTCCTGCTTTTTGGAGTTCATTGGAAATAAGAATCTCACAGACATTCTTGTCCAGGCTGGCTTCGAACCTCCATCCTCAGATCTTTTCCTCCTGCATAGCTAGGATTACAGGCATGAGCCACCAGCACGCAGCTGGTTTCTGAAGTCAAAGATTGCACCATCTTTGACCCCAGGAGACGGATTTCCAGGAAGCAGTTCTCTAGAAGTAATTAAGTGGTGCAAACACAAGCCATGCCCATTCATCTCCGGCATGCTCATAAAAGCTGAGAAGCAGCCTCATCCGCTAGGACCCCGATGGATGGAGGCTATTTGAGGATGGGACCTATATTCGCCGTGGAATCTGCCTAGATGCCCCACACATACCCCACCCCACGATGCTGAAGTCCCTCCTGTAGACCATGTGGCATTACTGGGGCTGGAATTCTGAATCTTGCATTTGCTACGCTGGACTGGTGCTTGACCCTTGAACCACTCCATCAGCCCCTGACTATTCTGAAGATAGAGTCTTGTAAACTTTTTTTTTTTTTTTGGTCATAGGGCTTGAGCCCTGGGCCTGGGCGCTGTCCCTCAGCTCTTCAGGTGAGCATTCTACCACATGAGCCACAGTGCCACGTCCGGTTTTCTAGTGTTTCATTGGAGGTAAGAGGCTCACGGACTTTCCTGCCCAGGCTGGCTTTGAACCGTGATCCTCAGATCTCAGCCTCCTGAGTAGTCTAGGATTACAGGCATGAGCCACCAGCACCCGGCTAGTCTTGTAAACGTTCCTTCCCAGACTGGCCTCAAAGCTTGATCCTTTAGATCTCAGCCTCCTGAGTAGTTAGGATTTACAAGCATGAGCTACCAAGGTGCCTGGCTTAAAATATCTCTGTTTACATGTAAAGTATACAGTATTGCAAATGTTCTAGGCACATCATCCCATACACTAATTAAAGAATTACTGGTATTTAAACATATTTCCAGTGCCTTCCCCTCAACCAGCTGAATTACTGGTATTTATCATTTGGTGCTTTGGACATGCCAAATGTGTTCTACGCAAGAGCCACACCTGGTCCTCCGCACGCTTTAACCTATCTGTATGGGACTCATATTACCAAATGCAGGGTAGACAATTGTCATACTATATTGTTAGGAAGGAGCCTGTTCATGTTCTGCGGAGACGCATTATGTTTTTGCTAATTATTTTAAAATTCACAGATGGATAAATGGTGACTCCAGAAGGCTCAGTGTTTACGACTGCCTCAGTGGTGTGTACTTTACCTGTCTGTCTGTCTGTCTGTCTGCGAGTACAGTTGTGGAGCCTTTGGAAATGTGGACAGTGTGCAGCCACCGCCGCCGCCTCATTTGAGAGCATGGGGCCCAGGGCGGGGTTTTTTGTGTTTGTGTTTGCTTGTGGTTTGGTTTTGTTTTTGTACTGGTCCTAGTGCTTGAACTCAGGGCCTAGGTGCTGTCCCCTGAACTTCATGTTGTTCAAGGCTAGTGCTCTACCACTTGAGCCACAGCGCCACTCTGACTTTTTGGAAGTTCATTGGAGATTAAGAGTCTCATGGACTTACCTGCCAGGGCTGACATGAAAGGGAGATCCTCAGACCTCAGCCTCCTGAGTAGCTAGGATTACAGGTGTGAGCCACCAGCACCTGGCTTATTGTTAGTCTTTAATACAAGAAGAGGCAGGGAGGGAGGGAGGCAGGGAGGGAGGGAGGGAAGAAGAAGGAGCGAGTCAAGCAACACAATACTTATAAGTAGGACAAAAACTCAGGAGTGTAACTCAGGAGGATCTTCTAGATCTGGCTCTGCAGATGTGCTTTGGTCTGGGGACGAGCTCTCCTTGTTGCGTGTAGCAGATGTGTGCTCTCTGCAGACCTGGAAGGATCTACCGTGGCGCACCAAGCAGCATGGCGCCGGCACAGCCGTCGGCAGGAACTCCCCACCTCTGTGAGCCTGGAAGGGCCGGCTGCGCACCGGCGGCTCACACTGCCATCCCAGCCACTCTGGAGGCTGAGATCTGAGGACGGAGGTTTAAAGCCAGGCCCAGCAGAGTCATCTGTGAGACTCTGATCTTTCATGAACTACCAAAAAGCCAGAGATGGAGTTGGAGTTCACATGGTAGGTGCTAACTTTGAGCAGAAAAGCCAAATGAGGACGTGAGGACCTTGCCCTTCAAGGCCCAGTGTAAGCACAAAAGAGGAAGGAAAGCCGAGGTCTGGTGTGTGGGGGGGGGGGGGGCAGGGGGGCCGGGCTAAGGCTCCTGGCTGGGGAACACAAGGCCTGAAAGCCTGTGACCTCCTGTGGGAGCCACAGGCGGCGGGGCAGGATCTCCCCCTTCAATGCCCACAGCTTGTAGTTTACCCAGCATTCCTCTCTCTCAGTTCTGTTTGATCTTGGCCTTG